TCTATAAAATATTCTTAATAGGTATGTTTATTTTTCAGTCTGAAGAAAATAATGATGTTAATATATTGATGATAAAAAACAGTATATTGTGTGTGGTATATATACAATGAGGCTTAAGATTAGCTGTCTCTAAGTCTAGATATTTCCATAAAGAGAGAAAACACAAGCATTGTCCTGTTCATTTAGCTAGTAAATATAAAATCGCGTAGAACGTTCATGAAATTATTTTTGTTATATTTTTTATTAAATTAAACTATATTTATTACAAAGCAATAACGCGCCATCTATATATAACCAATGAAAACATTTCGAAGCGAATGTTTCTTTTTACAAATAAATCTACTGTTCAAAAAGCTTATATCAATAGTTTGCTTAGATACCATTTCTATGATTCCACCCTTCAGTGTTGCAAATAGAAGCAGAATGATTTAATACAGTATTAGAGCTCTGGTAGATTAAATTGGCGAAACCGCTGGGAGGGTTCATCACTAATGAACCAAGCCCTCACAATATTTATTCTTCGCAGTAAGGACAGTAGAAGTATAATTGATGTGTAAAAAAAAAGAAACATTCGCGTCTTTAGTTTTCATTGGTTATAAATTATATTTGTCTCAATAAAAATGGAAAAATATTTTCAATTCAGAACGATGGCACTACAATGTATTACTTTATTAATAACTAGCAAGATTTCGAGTTAAGATCTTTTCCATTTCTCTACAGACGAATCCTTACTAGAATATTTACACAGGCAAGTTGAATACCTTTAAAATACATGTTTATCCTATCAAGAGACCACAAACTATCACTCAATATTAACTGAAGACCTAGTATTAAATCTTAGATAGCTACACTTTAGCTAATTGACAAGAATTAAGAATATTTTATTTAAAAAACGCCATTAAACACACAACACGCCTTCTAATTTTGGCCTAGAAAATTCTCCTCAATTTCCCAATTGGATAAAATTTGAAGCATTAAAAGGTATATTTGATGAATATTTAGCTGTTTTTTTGTGATGTATTTCTTGTGGATATAAAGTATATTTTCAATTTCAATTGCCACACACACATTTATCTAGAAATATGAATTTCGAAATGTATATAAAGTATATTATATCTTAGGGACGCTGACTATGCAAATTTGTTTCCTCTACTCATTTACTTTTGATGATTAAACGTTGTTTATTATTGAAGTATGTAAATAGGTTTTGTATGCAATAAGAATATAAGTTTAGCATACAATCTCATATATTAAAAATAAAGAAGGCATCTCCTGACCAGGAGCACATGTGCTTTTTAGATGGCAGAGCGCTATCTAGTGGAATCTCATATATCTGCAAATTCTAGCAGTCCATTTTCGTCTGCCATTGTATAAACTTTTTCTTGCGTTGTTAGTTGATAAGTTGACCCAACGGGTTAATTCAAAGATGAAAATTATTTTATTAATGCGTCAGAGTCAAGTTAATCAGTATTCTATTAAAGGAGAACTGTTTATATATATATATATATATATATATATATACTCTGGAACTAGTTCGAGACAAATAATATAGGCGGAGTTAAGTTACGTAATAAATTCCCAAAACACACACAATGAACTTGAAGAAAACTCTCTTTCATTGTTGTGAAATTAATCCATTCCTGACCATCAAATTCAAAAAATAATAATTGAAATAGAATTGAAATAATTTTAAGATTACATAAAGGTATAAAAATGATCTTTGTATTATATATTAGATTATTTCTTTTTTAATAGAGCAAGCTCTCTCTCGGACCTTTATTTTACTTCCACGGTCATATCTATCATTCATATATATTTTATATAAAAACTCAAATATTTCTATATTCAAAAAATATATATATTTTTATTCATTGATATTTCTACTTTTTGGTTATCATCGTTTTTTAGAATAACTTTCAGTTTTGTTGTAAATATGCGTAGTTAATATATCTATCTTTTTGAATCACTAATATAGGATTAACATTATAAATTCTATATAATGTGAAAATAACTAATGTGTAATATTTCCTCAAGTAATTGAAAATAAAAGCTACTTGATGGTAAATAATTATCCTTTTTTTAATCACGACTGCACCTTCAACCCTTTATCTTATCGATCCTTTGTCTTATCAACCCTTTATCTCTAACAACAAACAAATTATTTATAAGATATATATTTGGAATAAGATATAATATATATCGGGTAGTTGGCGATTTACGTTCCAGGAGCACGGGTTACCTCTATTTTCTCTATAATATATATTCGAAATCTTGCGCTCTCTCTTAAATGAAGAAGCATATTGAAAACGTTATTTCATTTGTAATACAGTGGACCCTCGGTTTGCGAGCATAATCCGTTCCAGAGCCATGCTCGTACTCCAAAACGCTCGTAGTGCGAAACTAATTTCTTATTTTTAATAATTGAAACTCGGGCAATTCTTCTTGCTACGAACAATTGCACAGTTTCCCACATTTTACATATTTCCAGAATCTAATCTGAAGGGAGGGATCCCAGTGAATTTTCATCCATCACGATTACGGGCAACCATCACGAGTTGCTTGTAATGCGAAATTTCACTCGTAATCCGAGGTAAAATTTTTCAAAAATTTTGCTCGTACTGCGAAAAGCTCGTACTCCAAGGTGCTCGTAAACCGAGGGTCCACTGTATTAGCTATAAAAATAGCAAGATGTTCATTGTATTTTAACAGAAAATAACACACAAACACAACATTCGCATCGGCGAAGTCAAGAATCTACCGGTACTTCGTCCAGGTTGGACTGGGTGAGGTCATCGAGGTCATCGCCTGGAGGAGAACCTTATCACGGTGACTACCTAGCTGAATGTAAATTTTATCGATGTAATTTTTATTCTGTATATATTGATTATGAAGTCAATAAAGATTTTTTAATTGTCAATTGTCACACAAACACAACACAATAACACACACTAAACACAAGAACACACACACAAAACACAAGAACACACACAACAACATAAACAACAACATAAACAACAAAACACAAAAAACATAACACAACACACACACACACAATATAAACAACACAACAACAACATAACACAACACACACAACACTCACAAAACACAAGAACACACACACAACAAAACACACAACATACACAACAACACACACAACAACAATAACAAAATTATTAATCCCAATCTTATTTTCTAAATCAAAATTTAAGAAAAATGATAAATTAAATTATATAGGTAGTAAATTATTTTTTTAAATATTTCGCAAAAAAAATCCTATGACATGATATCAAACATGGATGAAGACCATGGAATGGATGATAGAGAAGCCATAAACTTCATAGGTGACATAGTAGGTGTTTTTTGTCCCATTGAGATGGAAATGCCTTGTCTTGAAGAAATCAAATCTTTCTAATCAGATGCTCAAAATCACACATGTTCTATAAAGGAAACGTGCAAAGAAGATTCAAATATAAACGATGAGGAAGATCAAGAAAATATTATGGCATTGCTTACTATGAGCGAAATACAATAAAAATGTAATACTTATACACACACAACAACAATACACACAAAACACAAGAACACACACAACATACACAACAACACACAAACACAACATACACAACACACACAACATACACAACAACACACACAACAAAACACAAAAAAACCAACATAACACAACACACACAACATAAACAACACAACAACAACATAACACAACACACAGCAACACCCACACAACATAAACAACAAAACACAACACACAGCAACACAAAACAAAAATAAGGAAGTGTCACTTCGAAATGACTCCTCTTTTTTTTATTCTCCATGTGAAGCAGGCATACATCATAATGTATAAATGTATATTTTGAATATACACTCAAAATATTTATTCAAAAAATATATTTCTATTGTGTTAAATATTTGCCATCCACGCATCGAAGAAATATTCAGAATGTACCAATGGTACAATTGGAGTTATACAATTATAGTGAAATGAACAAAAAAAAAAGCATCCAATTAATTTAGGAAGTGATAAAAATATAAATTGGTCTTTAAACAACTTTTTTTCATCCCGGCTAATGCAATTTGTAACCATTTATTACATACTTAATTACAGATAAGTAAAATTAATGATAAATTATTGGGAAGATTAGCTACTAGAACATGGAATAGGTTGCATTTATCAATTTATTATTATCCCCCTTATTATTGGGGAAAAAAGATAAATTTCTTTTATTTATGATTATTATTATTATAGTTATTTATTTTGTAGAATATTCGATGAAATTCGGTTGAAAAAAAAATAGTTTGAACATTCCAATTGAAAGGAGTATATATTGCCAATATTGTTTCTATATTTGAAAATAATGAAAGATATCTAAAAAAGTATTTTACAATATCAAAGTTATGACATGATATCTGTGACTTTCCATTTTTTTTTCAAACACACACACACAAAAAAAAAAACGCTGATATAAACTTCTATACAACATAAAGTTGAGGGAAAAGAGCCGGTGGACGAGTGAGTAACACCCTCGATTCCAGACAGTCATGAACCGAGATTGAATCCCACGTTAACATTTTGTTTAATAAGTGAATAACCTCCACATATTATTCACTGTTTCAATTATCATAAACTAGGTTGCTCTTGTTGAGCGGTACATAATAAAGTGATTTTGAATTATATATATAAAAAAAAGACGAGTGGGTAACACCCTCGATTCCAGATAGCTATGAACCGGGATCGAATCCCACGTTAACACTTTGTTTTAATATATGAATAACCTTCATATATTATTCATTGTTGCAATTATCATAAACTAGGTTGCTCTTGTTGAGTGGTACCTAATAAAGTGATTTTGGAACAAGATAAAGTTGCGGGAAGATGATATTCATGTACTTAAAGAGATACCTCTCCCTTTAATTACACATCAGATGGTCTTTAGGTTCCGGGCTAATTGGCCTATCAGGTAAGGTCTTCTAGCCCCAATAATAGCCTACAGCACCCGGTGTTCCCAGGTGGTCACCTTCTCAAGTACTGACCGGGCCCGACATTGCTTAACTTCGGTGATCGGACGAGAGAAATTACACATCAGAGCTATGTATTATGTTTATCCGCCTAGGAAAACCCTTCACTATTGATAATAAAGAATGAACAAGACAACGCCATTTTGCCAAATTCAGACAAGAATATATACAGGTTGGAATTTTGTCTGAATTTACCAAAACTGCTGCTATGATTATTCTAAATGACCACTAATAAGGTTTTTACTAAGATGATAAACATGATTCACCGTTCTTATGCCTAATCAAAGGGAGAAATGTCTCTTTAGGTTAATAATATTGTAACATAGTATTTATTAATTTTATTATTTTTTATTAACAGAGTGGTCATTTTTATGTTTATATCTTGCGACTCTGTAAATTTCCCTCGTGGCTTATCTTTTGTTTACAATTCATAGTTTGTCCTTCCCTGAAATAAATTTTGTTTCCTCCTGAAGTTTTTGTCTTCCCTAATTTTCCATGTGGCATTTTGGTGGAGATGCTGGGTAGGTTAGGGAAGACAAACTGAAGATCGACGAGAAGAATTTGAAGCCATGGGTGCTGTAATCCACATTTTTAGAGACTGGCTCCAGGATTCCACTGCCGTGTCAAAGCCAAGACTTCTTTCCAAGATGACGATGTCCCTATAGACGACGATACGACGACAAAGTCGCTCTTCACGCCGCAAGAAAATGGACGCAAAGGTACTAGGGACTAAGTTCCAAGACTTCGATGGAATCCTTGGCAGAAGCACGTCAAATCCACGTCAGTATCTACAATAATTGCTAGCTGTGGGTCACAGCTCCCATAGAGAAGAAGTTATGTAACATAGTATTTATTAATTTTATTTATGTAACATAGTATTTATTAATTTTATTTATGTAACATAGTATTTATTAATTTTATTAACAGAGTGGTCATTTTTTATGTTTATATCTTGCGACTCTGTAAATTTCCCTCGTGGCTTATATTTTGTTAACCATTCATAGTTTGTCCTTGCCTGAAATAAATTTTGTTTCCTCCTGAAGTTTTTGTCTTCCCTAATTTTCCACGTGGCAATATTCTATATGCAAGCACTCTTTGGTATATCTTAATATATGATTAATAGACCTTTATAATAGTTTAAGATATACAGTTAAACGTGTCTATAGCGCCCCCTCTAAATAGCGCCTTCCTCTCTATAGCGCCCGATTTTAAACATTAAAATGTGAACATTTTACATTAAAAGTGACCTGTTTATAGCACCCTATTTTGATGAGTCTCAAGAGGGGGTGCTATAGACAGGTTTAACTGTACTAGGAAATCATCAATTATTTTATGACATCGTTTTTATTCATTATTATTATCATTATATCATTAATATTTACCAATAATATTATCTTTATTCATAAATTCCTCAATAGAAATTAAGTATTAGCTTAGATTAGCAATAATCATGTAAATAATTACTTCGCTATATATATAGTCAAAACCACATCTGATTAAGTCAAAAATAAATCGATAGTTATTTGAAAAAAAAAATCACTGAGGCCTCTACGTAGGTACAATACATCTTAAGTTTGCGGTAGGATATTTTTTTCATGTACGAGTATGTAATGTATGTATGTAATGCATGCATGTAATGTATGTATGTAATGTATGTATATAATGTATGTATTTTAAAAAGATGCATATATTGGATTTCTAATTATTTTTATTGTTCCAATATTTCGAAGGGCAACTCGCCTCTCTTTATCGAGGATGTTTGTGTTTTTCACTAGAACACGCGCGCACGCGTACACCACTCTCGTTCTACAAGGCCAATGAAAGAACTGTATCCTTGACTCAACTATTGCCTTCAGTTTATATACAGCAAATAATTATATTTATATTTAATATTATAGATTATTATTTTATCTATGGAAGATATAGAGATTTATATACAGCACAGTATAATTGTAAAAAAATTGTGTTTACATATTATTCTAAATTAATTTTTTTTTTAAAGCAAAATAAATTATTAAATAAAAGGTATATACATAGTTATTTATAAACAATTAAGATATGAATTCTTTATAAATTTCTGGAAAATCAATTTTTCTGTTTATACTCTGTTTATCTTCGGCAGAAGCCCAACTTTCTAAAAACAGTCTACTATGCTTTTCTGTTATGTTTTTGTATATAATTGTGGTCTGTTTGAAATCTGGTATATGGCTATTGTTTAGGGAGTGGTCTACTAGTAGGGATAATGGTTTGTAGTTTTTTAAAGCTGCTTTATGTTGATTGATACGATTTTAAGTGATTTACCTGTTTCTCCTATGTATGTAGCTTGACATGTCTGGCAGGGAATTTTTTAAATTACATTGGTTGTATTTTCTTGGTTTGAAATATTTTTTTGTATATAAACTGAAGGCAATAGTTGAGTCAAGGATACAGTTCTTTCATTGGCCTTGTAGAACGAGAGTGGTGTACGCGTGCGCGCGTGTTCTAGTGAAAAACACAAACATCCTCGATAAAGAGAGGCGAGTTGCCCCTCGAAATATTGGAACAATAAAAATAATTAGAAATCCAATATATGCATCTTTTTAAAATATAATTTTAATTATGGATTGCCAAATCTTCAAAATAATGTATGTATATAATGTATATATGTAATGTATGTATATAATGTATGTAATGTATGTTAAAATTTTACACAAATAAATTTACTGGCAATGCGTTTCTTTTTTAAAATCTCTACAGACCTTACTGCAATGATATGATTTAATGAATGAGAGGGCTTGGCTCATCAGTAGTGAACCCTCTCAGCGGTTTCGCCAAATTAATCTCTAGACCGCTCTACTATTGTATTGGACTGGTTTTGTTATATACCCTGCATTTTCTATGAAAGGCAGCTAAATGGTGTTTAGTGAACTATGGACATAAGCTTATAGGTCTGTAGAGGTACATACATATAAATTTCAAGGAATTGCATCGAGCAAAGCTCTTCCGCGCAAAACATGTTTTCATAACCATTTTATATTAGTAAATTAAATTTTATTGCCCTCTATCGTTAAAATTTTACACAAATAAATTTACTGGCAATGCGTTTCTTTTTTTTTTTAAATCTCTACAGACCTTACTGCAATGATATGATTTAATGAATGAGAGGGCTTGGCTCATCAGTAGTGAACCCTCTCAGCGGTTTCGCCAAATTAATCTCTAGACCGCTCTACTATTGTATTGGACTGGTTTTGTTATATACCCTGCGTTTTCTATGAAAGGCAGCTAAATGGTGTTTAGTGAACTATGGACATAAGCTTATAGGTCTGTAGAGGTACATACATATAAATTTCAAGGAATTGCATCGAGCAAAGCTCTTCCGCGCAAAACATGTTTTCATAACCATTTTATATTAGTAAATTAAATTTTATTGCCCTCTATCGTTAAAATTTTACACAAATAAATTTACTGGCAATGCGTTTCTTTTTTTTTTTTAAATCTCTACAGACCTTACTGCAATGATATGATTTAATGAATGAGAGGGCTTGGCTCATCAGTAGTGAACCCTCTCAGCGGTTTCGCCAAATTAATCTCTAGACCGCTCTACTTTCATAGAAAATGCAGGGTATATAACAAAACCAGTCCAATACAATAGTAGAGCGGTCTAGAGATTGATTTGGCGAAACCGCTGAGAGGGTTCACTACTGATGAGCCAAGCCCTCTCATTCATTAAATCATATCATTGCAGTAATGTCTGTAGAGATTTAAAAAAAAAAAAAAAGAAACGCATTGCCAGTAAATTTATTTGTGTAAAATTTTAACGATAGAGGGCAATAAAATTTAATTTACTAATGTAATGTATGTATGTAATGTATGTATGTAATGTATATATGTAATGTATATATGTAATGTATATATGTAATGTATGTATGTAATGTATATATGTAATGTATATATGTAATGTATATATGTAATGTATGTATGTAATGTATATATGTAATGTATATATGTAATGTATGTACGTAATGTACGTAATGTATGTATGTAATGAATGTAATGTATATACTCGTACTGAAAGATACACCTCACCCTTTAAATATATGCATTATAACAATACATCACTTATAACACTCTAGTAAATACTTTTGTAGTGATGATAAGGAATAAACCGCAACACCAGTTATAGAATTATAGACAAATATCCAACCTGCCTGGTTCAAATCACATTAATAGGTACCGCTCAGCAAGAGCAACCTAGTTCATGATAATTGAAACAGTGAATAATATGTGAAGGTTATTCACATATTAAACAAAATTTTAACGCGGGATTCAATCCCAGTTCATGACTGTCGGGAATCGAGGGTTTTACCCACTCGTCCACCGACTTTTTTATTATAAAATTCAACCTGTAGGCCATGGTTTCGGACTTTTCTTTTTTGCTTATCCCTAGTACACGTGGTACAGGCCATGATAATTATGGTGGGTAGAAGTAGGCGACTGCTTTAACTGTAAGTGCACCACATGTCTACACATGTGAAAGAAGATCGATTTTTGCACTTAAAAATGTGTCATAGCCCCATTTGGTTACTTGCACTCGCTGGTGGGATTGGACTTTAGAAAGAATCGGGGGCTATTGGAGCATTTTTTTTATCAGAAAAAAAGTGCCCAATGCGGGAATCGAACACGGTTCAAGCGGTCGAAAACGAACGGTTTAAACCATCCTTCCACCGACTCTATTGTGGAATATAAACCTCATCTGTATAGGGGTAACTTTGATTCAATAACTTCTCGCGAATAGAAAAGCCTGAAGCAAAATTTAATGATCTAAAAAACCCCACTATGTGGACAGTTTTAAACCCACCTCTACTTGAAGTAAAAGGACTTAATAATAAAACCATGTAATTATACCACACAATTAAACATCTTCAAAAATTAAAAACACTCATCTCGAATAGATTAAATGAACCAACCGATAAGGATTTATCAATTTTTATTTTGTGAATTATTAATGGCCATTCATTGAAAGAAAGGAAAGATATCTTTAAATTTGTTGGTTTTCTGTTTATTCTGATATAGAACGTGTATTCTATTATTGTGTATTT